TGTCCCGGGCCCGCCCGCCCCGCGCACCGCGCATGCGCCGGCAGCCGCGCCTGCTCCGCGGGGCCGGGCGGGGCCTGGGAGGCTCCCCCAGACCAGGCCCTGCAGGGGCACCCGGGGCACATCCCACGGGTACAGGCCGGTGTGAATGTCTCCAGAGAAGGAGGCTCCACAGCCCCTCTGGGCAGCCTGTCCCAGGGCTCTGTCACCCTCAAGTTCTTCCTGAGATTCACACGGAACCTCCCGTGCTCCAGTTTGCACCCCTTGTCCTATCACTGGTCATCACTGCACAAAGCTTAACTCCATCTTCCTGACACTCACCCCTTACATATTTGTAAACATTGATGAGGTCACCCCTCAGTCTCCTCCGAGCTCAACAGACCCAGCTCCTCAGGAAAGGTTTTACCTCACACGGAAAGGTTTTATCCCTCCTCTGACTGCCCGAGGTCGCCTCATCCCTCCGTGAATCGGTTTGCAGGGGTTTCTTACAACCCCACTGGCACCCCAGCTAGTGTGTGTGTGTGTGTGGGTGTTATTCTTTCCCCAAGCACCTCATTCACACGGGTAAGAGGTCTGGGGTGTCTGCATCAAACCTGCACGGCCTGGGCTCCCCGTGCAGCTCTGGGACAGGCCTGGTGCTTATGGGTGGGGATGGAGCAAAAGGTGCAACGCCTGGGGAGCTGGGAGAGGGAGGAAAAAAAGCCCAGAGGTGAAAACCTGGAGTGGGGAAAGTGTATAAAATGGGGGGAAAATGTATAAAATGGGCAGCTGCAAATAGAGGGTGCAAATAATAATAATAATAATAAGCTGTAGAGCTTCCTCTGGAGCTGGGATGTGCTTAGATGTGCCATATTCAATGTACACTCTCCTTTCTGTGCTGTGATCTGCCTTAACTAACTGTGAGTGTTAAACTGGCACATCCAAGGAGAAGAATATTAAGGGATTGAAAAGGCCCCATAACTGACGCACAGCCGAGAAGATTCTTTTCTTCATCTTTGCACATATCCCTGTTGCCACTGCACCACAGAGCCTGATCACTCTTGCAAAGTGGCCCTCAGACCCCCCCGGCCAGGCTGGATGAGCTGTTGGTGTGACAGGCAGTTTGTCCTTCAAGCTCTTCTGCTGTGAGGTACATGCTGCTGGAAGGTGGGATATCTCCTGCTGGAAGCTGCTCTCCTTCATCTCTCCCCTTTCCCTGGGCCATGGGAATTCATCTCTGATCTGTACAAAGCAGGGGACAGAAGTTAAGAGCTCTGAGGATGAAGGTGGGAGGAAGGCACTGCCTGCTCCAGGTCCAGCCTTGCAGACTGCTCTCCCGCCTACTCTCCAGTAGATGGAGAAGTTGGGGATCAGCAGCATCAGGACAGAAGGAAACCACGCTAATAATTTGCATTATGTTGCTCACCCAACGTGTGTAAATAGGTCTTCACACCCGCCAGTCTGTTCATCAACACTTTGCTCACAAGCAATCCAGCCAGGCTGGATCCCTCTCCCAAATATGCTCCATGAAGAGCAAGTTCCCTGTGGCTCCAGGCAATCTCATGATTATAGGGTGTGCACCAAAACTGTGCATCATCCCTACTTTAGGAAGCTTAGCTCCCATTTTGCAGTAGGTTTTTCTGGAATCCGAGGTGACGCGTTGTTGATGGATCAAAAACCCAGCTGTCAATATACAAAGCTTCATGTTAGTGCTACAGAAAAACAGAAGCCTAAGGATGGCAAGGAGTTGCTTCTGAACTTAAGCTGTATCCTAAAGGCTGATTCCATTTAAAACTCAGTGGCAAAACTCCCAATAATTTAAGTAAAGATGTACCAGAGCAGGTTTACATCTTCCATTTGTGGCAGCTGCCTGGACTGGGGTGCATTGCTGTTTATGGCTCTCATGGTCAGTGGTTCCATAAATGCTCAGTGGAGTTACTCCCTTTGGGGCCTACAACAAAAAACAGGTTGTTCACAAAGGTGGGACAAAGAACATTAGGAACCCAGGAAAAAAACAACAACTAAGCAATTGTATGTAGTCACAGAAGTAAGTGTACAGGTACTATGAAGGAACAAATAGAAACATCAATGACAACACTCAGCCCTTCATTGCCAACAAAATCAGACCTTTGCCTCCTGAACTCCAGGAAAACTCTTAGTCATAGGTAAACAGAAAGTGGGAAAAAAAAAAAAAAAGCCCTCAAATCAAATTGAAGTGAGGGGGAAGGAGAAAAAAAAAAAAAAAAAGAAGCAACTAGAGTAATAGTTTTATTACTGAAGCCCTAATTATAACTGCACTGAAAGGTCTATTTATACTGCAATTGCTTCAACAACCCAAACTGAAACAGGGACCTCAGTCAATCTTCATCTGTTTCAAAATTCAGTTAAGAGTCCCATTGAAAAGCTTAAGTGGAACAATACTACAGCTGTCAATTCTGACACAGACCTGGTTGCAATGTAGATACTTCATACAAGTTTGACAAGTTTGAAAAAATATAATTAAAAGTAGTTTGTGATTTTGCTGTCCTGATTTAGAAGAACAAGATGCTTTTATACATACATAATACATACTTGCATACATATAGATATATGCATTTTTAAGCAAGAAGAGCCTAAAAACCCCTAATCTTTCTGTGCACTGAATACAATTAA